TTGTTTAGCAGACTTGGGCTGGGTTTGAACCCACCAGCCCCATTGCATGTGGCCGGTACCCTAACTGCTGAGCTACAGGCAGAGAGCCTACTTTGTTTCTCTTGATCACCCCAGAAATCTTTCCCTATTGTGCCACCAAGAGAGACCAACCAAATCAAGCCCTGGTGGGCTATCATCTGCTCCTCCACACACTCATCACACAGTGAGGAGACTGGCGCTGTTTGGCACTTCCCTGGACAGGGTGGTGGGATGTAGGAGGCATGATGAAGGCACTGGTCTGGGCAGTTGGTTATTTTCCTTGGGCTCCTCCTTCCATGCTTTGATTACCACCTAGTCCTGGATTCTGGGAGATATACTTCATGCCAGTTCATTCTGCCCTTTGACCTGTCACTATTCTGAGCTGATGATCTTTTTCTTTAAAAAATAAACTGATCTTACAGTTGACTATCATTCTCCACCTGTGTTTTTCCGATAGTAAGATATGGATCCAGTGGCCTCCTTTTCATATTTTTGACGTTAGCCTTTTGATACAGGAGATGATTTGATGTAATCACATCTTTAAAAAGTGTAGGCTTTCCAGGTGGCACCTGTGGCTCAAGGAGTAGGGCACCAGCCCCATATAATGGAGGTGGTGGGTTCAAACCCAGCCCTGGCCAAAAACTGCAACAACAACAAAAAGAATCCTTATTGTTGGAATTCTTATTGTTGGAATCCTTATTGTTGAACTGGAACTATTTATTAAGCACAGCCTAATTCTTTAAGAGTGCTGAACATCTCTATGTTATCTTATGTTGTTTACAAAAACACTGACTTTAATTATTGGGACCAATTCTTTTTTCACTTTGTAAAGGTTTTTGTGGGAACAACTGGGGATGAGAAACTACTATATGAAATTCAGGAAATCTTGCCCTTTATATTTTCCCTAAATTCTATTTGAAAATTCCTTTCTTCATTTTTCTCCTCATCTATTTTCTTTCTTTCTTTCTTTCTTTCTTTTTTTTTTTTTGAGACAGAGTCTCAAGTTGTCGCCTTGGGTAGAGTGTGTGGCATCACAGCTCACAGCAACCTCCAACACTTGGGCTTAAGCGATTCTCTTGCCTCAGCTTCCCAAGTAGCTGGGACTACAGGTGCCTGCCACAATGCCCAGCTATTTTTTGTTGTAGTTGTCATTGTTGTTTAGCTGGCCTGGCCAGGTTTGAACCCACTACCCTTGGTGTATGTGGCTGGCACCATAACCACTGTGCTATGGGTGCTGAGCCTCACCTATTTTGTTAATGGCAGAGATGGGTATGTTTGCACATTCACCAGATATCTTAGCAGATCCCTGAGATGGTGAGATAGCCCATCAATTTTTCACATCTGGCAAGCAGTCATGTTGACCACACTCCTCTGCTATAGAATTCATATAGCTTTTTTCCCAACTTTCAGTATAATGTTAGTTGTGTACTTTTTATATATGGACTTTTTTAGATTGAAGTTTTTCCGCATATTTCTAGTTGGCTAAATGTTCTTATTATGAAAGGTTCTTACATATGATATGAAGGTAATGCTCACCTGAAAAAATGAGACTGGAAATGTTCCTCTTCAATTCTTTGGGATAATTTGAGGAGCATTGATTGATGTTAATTTCTCTTGAAATTCTCCAGTGAGGTCATTTGAACCTGAGATTTTCTTTTTGGAGAGCTTTTGGATTATGGATTCAAGCTCCAGTTAAGTTTAATTTTTTTAGTCCTTCATGATTCATTATGGTAGCCTGTTTCAAGTAATTTATCATGTTCAGTGACTCTGTTTGGTCATTTTCAATGTGCTGTTAGTAAGTCTGCAGAGTTTTATACTTGGATCCATGTGCAGATTAGAGATTGCACTCCAATAGAGAGCTACAACCGTGCCAGGCAGTTTGTTTTTAAAGAATTCTTCAGTCTAATTTCTGACAGTATTTGGTGGTTGTCCAGTAGCTTAGATGAAGACCTTGTTGATTTACTTACAAGGAGCGGAGCATTGGCTTGTATAGGCCTTTCATTATTTTCCCAAACCTTCATTCTTAGTCCTATAACTT